TCCTCCAATCTCATTGGCTCTTACACTCTCTCCGCCTCCTCTTCCATGGGGATCCCTGAGCTCTGAAGTGAGGGATTTGATGGAGACATCCCATTTACAGCTGAATATGAGATGTAGCGGCTTTATTCTTCTTTTAAATTTAAATTAAAAACAATGTTATTTTACATACCAATGCCAGTTCCCTCTCCGTCCCTTGAATTACCAAGGCTATTTACAAAAATACAGAATTCAATGGCTTCTATGCTGACAAAAGCTCTGGAAGTACTATCCTAGTGCTGAGATTGTCACTCAGTTGAGGTACTCTGATCTGGAGCCATGTCTGCAACTCTGAAGTGTGTGTGTGTGAACTCCAGTGTGGAGCTTAATGCATCCAACAATACCCACACTGTGTGAGCTCTGGAATACCCAATAGCATATGACCCAAGCTGTGTTCCATTAGGACACTTCTGGTTGCTGGCTGACTCCAAAAACTCAGAGCTGGGTTCCTGCTATGGACCTGGATGAGTTTGAACTTTTCCTCTGCCTCATCCCTCTACCTGGCGGCCGTGCCAGGAAATCATCTCTTTGACATACTTGTTACAGTTGCTTTGCTGGCCTGCTACATTTTTATTATACACATGAAAATGATGATGCCAAATTCATTTACAAATATTAAGTGCTTCTACTGGGCACAACCCAAGAACAAACATCATAGAGTATAATAAAGTTCACAGCAGGGTTGAATTCATAAGCTGTTCAATGGAAGATGATCCTAGGAAGAAAAAGGTGCTAGCCAGAAGACAGAAAGCTAATACGAAATCTAACTTGGGTGGTGAGTTATTAGGCATTGTGGAAGGAAAAAAAAGGTTTGGGATGTGTGTTTTTCAGGGGAAGTAGACTGTTGTTACTGGCACACTGGTTTTGTGAAGCTGAAGTAAAAGGTCAAACTCTGCAAGTAACTCAATGAGCCCTGTCCTGTGCCATTGACATTATCCCCATTTCATGGTTAAGGAAGCTACAAATGAGACATTTCTTTCAGGGTCCCAAGATATACGGAGCTCAGGCTTTGGGAATTAGTCTCCTACTAGATAAAGCTGACACTGGCCATTCCTTTTTTTTTCTTAAGCCGCTTCATTCTTTGTGTTTTGCTCTCTTCCTCCTCTGAAGTTATAATCCAGAGGTCTCCTAGAAAGTGCACAGTAGTCAGTGAGAGGGGAAACTGTCCTCTGAGGCCTGAGCACACATGTCAAGTGCCATAAAGACCCCAGCTTCCTGCACTAGCATGCTGCAGACTCCGGGTCTCTGACTTTTTCTCTACACTGCCAAAACCATGGACAGCCAAGTAATCAACACAGAATGAATTATAAGACAGATGACACCTTTTCAGAAAAACAATCGGTGTCTGAGTTAATCACTGTCAGAAGTGGGGAAAGGTCACACTACCCCTCTTCCTGACAGATTCCCTCGGGTTTTCCCTGATCCTGGAACTATGAGGGGTCAGAATTAAAGATTTGGTAGATTTTTTTAGATTTATTTAGGTGTATGTATGAGTTCATGCGTATAGATTTGTGCATGCGTGTGGGTGTCTTCAGAGTCCAGACAAGGGCATTGGATGCCCTGGAGCTGGAGTTACAGGTGGTTGTGACATGGCTGATGTGGGTTCTGGGAGCCAAACTCTGGTACTCTGCTAGAGTACCAAGTGCTCTTAATCACCGAACCATCTATCTGTCCAGTCCCCCATTGTTTGTTCTTTAAGCAAAATTTTTGTGTAAGCTATTTAAAGACTTCCATCTTTTACTTATACAAAAGAAAGATTTTAAAAAAAATTAAATGATTTCCTATTCTGGAACTGTAAACAGATTTATCCATTCATTATATACATATGTATATAATGAATGGATATATGTTTATAGTGTGAACATATATGAATCCTGACTGTCAAAACTTTCGGGAGCAGGGAAAAACCCTCGGAATCTGCCAGGAAGAGGGATACTACTTCCTATGGTGGCTAACACAGGCACCTATTATTTTTCTGAAAAGGCGTCATATGCCATATGCCAGATATTGTTGTAAACACTGCCTGAATATGTACGTATTTACCTTCACTCAAACAGGAGAGTAAGAGTCTGCATCAACATCCTCAGTGGTAAGAACTGAGGTAAATCATTGTGGAAATCAGTATGGAGATTTCTCAGAAAATTAGGGATCAACCTACCTCAAGACACTACAATACCACTGTTGGGCATATACCCGAAAGATGCACATTCACACCACAAAGGGCATCTGTTCCACTATGTTCATAGCAGCATTATTTGTAATAGCCAGAACCTGGAAGCAACCTAGATGCCCCTCAACTGAAGAGTGGATGGAGAAAATGAGGTACATTTACACAAAGGAGTATTACTCAGTGGGAAAAAAAGCCAATGGAATCTTGAAATTCGCAGGTAAATGGTTGGTACTAGAAGAAAACATCCTGAATGAGGTAACCCAGTCACAAAAAGAGAAACATGGCATATATTCTCCCATATATGGATTTTAGACATGGATCAGGGGAGTGCCAGCCTACAATCCCACTGTCAGAGAGTCTGGGAAACAAGGAGGACCCTAAGAGAGATATGCATGGCCCTCTGGAGAAGGAGAATGAGGCAAGATCTCCAGAACAGATTGGGAGCATGGAGGGAGGGGAGATGGAGCTAAGAGAAAGAGAAGGGGAAAAGAGGAGGGGGGAGGAAGGTTGAGTCAGGGGAAGAATAGAGGAGCACAAGAAAAGAGATACCAAAATAAACCATTTTAGGTTTAAAGAGAAATCTGGCACTAGGGAAATATCCAGAGATCTACAAGGATGACCCCCAACTAAGAATATAAACAATAGTGGAGAGGCTACCTTAAACACCCTTCCTCCATAACGAGATTGATGACTACCTTATATGCCATCCTAGAGCCTTCATCCTGTAGCTGATGGAAGCAAAAGCAGACACCCACAGCTAAACACTGAGCTGAATTCCTAGAATCCAATTGTATTTAGGGAGGAGCAATGAGCAAAGGAGTCAAGACCAGGCTTGAGAAACCCACAAAAACAGCTGAGCTGAACAAGAGGGAGCTCATGGACCCCAGACTAATAGCTGGGAAACCAACATAGGACTGAACCAGGCCCCCTGAACGTGGGTGTCAGTTAGGAGGCCTGGACAGTCTATGGGGCCTCTGGAAGTGGATCAATATTTATCATTAGTATACTAATGAACTTTGGGAGCCCATTCCACATAGAAGGATACTCTCTCAGCCTAGACACACGGGAGAGGGTCTAGGCCCTGCTCCAAATAATGCATCAGACTTTGAAGATTCCCCAATGCAAGGCCTCTCCCTCCCTGGGAAGCAGAAAGGAGATGGGATAGGGAGTTAGTGGGGTCAGGGGAGGAGAGGAGGCAAAGGGAACTGGGATTGACATGTAAAACAAGATTGTTTCTAATTTAAATAAAAATAAAACTAGGGACAACAAACATATGAGGCCACTGGCAATGGGTCCAAGACCTAACACTAATACACAAACTAAGTTAGTGGAGCCCATTCTATATGGAGAAATACCATGCCCAACATAGACACAGGGGTGTGGGTTGGAGAGGTGCCTTGGTCCTTCCTCAATTAGATGATGGGACAGACTTAGTAGACTTCCTATGGGAGGCCTTACCCTCTCCGTGGAGCAGAAGGGAGGAGAGGGAATTTGAGGGAGTAGGAAGAAAGGATGAAGGGGGAACTGGGATTGGAATATAAAAAATAAATTAATAAAAAAGAGAAAAAAAAGAGCCGGATGTTGGTGGTGCACGCTTTTATTCCCAGTACTCGGGAGGCAGAGACAGGTGGATCTCTGTGAGTTTGAGGCCAGTCTGGTCTACAGAGCGAGTTCCAGGACAGCCTGTGAAACAATACAGAGAAACCCTGTCTCGAAAAACCAAGAGAGAGAGAGAGAGAGAGAGAGAGAGAGAGAGAGAGAGAGAGAGAGAGAGAGAGAGAGAGAGAGAGAGAGAGAGAGAGAGAGAGAGAGAGAGAGAGAGAGAGAGAGAGAGAGAGAGAGAGAGGGAGAGAGAGAGGGAGAGAGAGAGGGAGAGAGAGAGAGAGGGAGAGAGAGGGAGAGAGAGAGAGAGGGAGAGAGAGAGAGACAGAGAGAGAGACAGAGAGAGAGGAAGAAGAAGAACTAGAGCAAATATTATTTTTATTTTTTATTTTTTTTATTTTTTTATTTTTTGGTTTTTCGAGACAGGGTTTCTCTGTGGCTTTGGAGGCTGTCCTGGAACTCGCTCTGTAGACCAGGCTGGCCTCGAACTCACAGAGATCCGCCTGCCTCTGCCTCCCGAATGCTGGGATTAAAGGCGTGCGCCACCAACGCCCGGCTTAGAGCAAATATTAATTGTGGAATTTAGCAGAGATTATAAAAAATCTGAGGTAATTATTTCTTAAGCAGACCATTTTTCTATTTTGCAGAGCGAGTGTCTTTTGTTTGTTTTTCAACAGTGTCATTTAATTAGAATTCTATTCAAACCCAATCCTAAGATCTTGAAGTTTCACTTGAAGAACAATGACTAGCCAGCATTTAATGTATTCACAGGGACTCGAACTAGCGGCCACTAAACTGATCGTGTCCACTCAGTTCTCAGCCCCTTTCCTGATCAGCCAGTGGTAGGTGGAGGGTGAGGTGCAGAGAAATTTTTTACATATTCACACAAGGATCCTGTGATCAGCATGTGTTCTGGCTTTTCTCTTACACCCTATTCCCACACAATTCGTCCGCCAGGTGCATGTCTGCAACCTAGGAGCGACAGGCAGCACTGGCATGCACACATGTGCGCGCGCGGTTGCGCACGTGTTCACGCGCGTGCACGCGCGAAAACTAAAATTCATTCTGGATGCAAGTTCCAGAAGCAAGGTATAACTCCCCTCTTCCCTCTCACGCCCCCATTCCCAATGTCTCCCACTTACTCCTCTTCTGAACCACACCCATCATTGTGAGAGTAACAAACACCACCTACCTCACAAAGTGGGCTGCAAGCCGAATGTGGCTACTCTCAGGGGGAAAAGCCCATAACTCTCCTGTGGAGGCAAGCGGAGAGCGTGGGTGGGGGGGGGCGTGGGGAGCACGCTATTGGACGTCGAACGTAGGGCACATGTGGAGCATGCGCAGTAGCGCGCGCTGCCAGCATTCTGTAGTTAGGTCCGTTGTTGGCTCGTTGTCAGTACTGGACGCTGACCTGTAGGCCTCGACGTCCGTCATTACTGGGCCCCTAGTTCTAGCTCTAGGCGCGGCCCAGTTCTAGTCATGGCCCGCAAGGTCTATTTTGACCACAACTACTTTATTTTATCTGACTATGATGGAGATGAAAGAAATGAGGGTGATGAGGCTGGGGCTGGGGCCTCGGGCGCTGCGGCGGGAGTCGGTTACGGTGGAGCTGCCGCACGCCATCAGGGCCTGGAGAGTGATAGCGACATTTATGACAGTAACGAGTCTGTCAGCAGCAGCAGCGAGGAGGAAGACTCGTCGTCTTCGAGTTCTACTTCGGAGTCTGAGCAGGCAGAGGCACCTGCCCCGGTGCAGGAGGCTCCTCGGAATCCGATTCCGATTCCCATGGGGCCGCCTTCCCGCCGCCGACGTCGTCGCCTCCGCCGCCGTCGTGAGCAGACACCATTCCATTTCACACCTCATCAGATTGAGGCCATGGAAAACCTGTTCGGCCAATCCAAGTACCCTGAAGTACATGCCAGGTATGTGCCTTATAGCACGAGCTAACCCCAACTGCCCTGGGCTTCGGCTAGTGCTCTTCCAGGCCCTGTTTTCCCTATCACTACCCCCTCAGCCATGCTGGTCTTCTCCTTTGGGGTGGGGACGAGTACGGGAGGGTGACTTATGTGGGGGTCAAGGTCAGTATTAGCCTGTTGTGTTGAGGTGACACAGTGTGCGTACTCAACACTGCCGGCTTAATTTCCGTAAAATATAGACAGATGAGTATCGCGAGGGAAAATATCTTAATAGCACAAACTTCACCGGTGTTAAGGATTTAGACTTTGTTGGATGACCCCCTCACAAGAAGCCTCGTCACCTTTTCAGGGACTGTGTACCTATCCATCAACTCTCTTGGGTTTCCCTTCCCGGTCCCTCCCCACCACCCCGCCACCCCCGCCCACGCTGTTTTTTAAATTAGTGTGTTAAAAATATTCATCTCTTGTTTAGAAACTTTTTATGGAGTGAAACCACTTTGGAAATAAGACTAGTTCTGAGACTGAAAGTTAAATGGGGAGTGTGAGGGAGGGTACTGATATTTTAAAAGAGCACGCTGAACATTCAAACATTCATGGGTTTCTTTCCACAGGGAAGAACTTGCAAGGACTCTGAATGTGCCTGAAGACAAAGTGAAGGTAAGTAAATCTGAACAAAGCGGTTGAACAGTCAATCTGCAGCCTTCATCGGCGCTTTTTTTTTTTTTTTTTGGTTTTTTGGGGTTTTTTTTTTGTTTGTTTGTTTGTTTGCTTGCTTGCTTTTTTGAGACAGGATTTCTGAAGTCAATCTGCAGCCTTCATCGGCTCTTCTTTTTGTTTTTTGTTTTTTGATTTTTCTTTTGAGACAGGCTTTCTGAAATCAATCTACAGCCTTCATCGGCTCTTCTTTTTGTTTTTTTTTTATTTTATTTTATTTTTTTTTTGAGACAGGCTTTCTGAAGTCAATCTACAGCCTTCATCGGCTCTTCTTTTTGTTTTTTGTTTTTTGATTTTTCTTTTGAGACAGGCTTTCTGAAATCAATCTACAGCCTTCATCGGCTCTTCTTTTTGGTTTTTTTTTGGTTTTTTTTTATTTTTTTTTGAGACAGGCTTTCTGAAGTCAATCTACAGCCTTCATCGGCTCTTCTTTTTGTTTTTTGTTTTTTGATTTTTCTTTTGAGACAGGCTTTCTGAAATCAATCTACAGCCTTCATCGGCTCTTCTTTTTGGTTTATTTTTATTTTATTTTATTTTTTTTTAGACAGGCTTTCTGAAGTCAATCTACAGCCTTCATCGGCTCTTCTTTTTGTTTTTTGTTTTTTGATTTTTCTTTTGAGACAGGCTTTCTGAAATCAATCTACAGCCTTCATCGGCTCTTCTTTTTGTTTTTTTTTTTGGTTTTTTTTTATTTTTTTTTGAGACAGGCTTTCTGAAATCAATCTACAGCCTTCATCGGCTCTTCTTTTTGTTTTTTGTTTTTTGATTTTTTTTGAGACAGGCTTTCTGAAATCAATCTACAGCCTTCATCAGCTCTTCTTTTTGTTTGTTTTTTGTTTTTGATTTTTTTTTTTGGAGACAGGCTTTCTGAAATCAATCTACAGCGTTCATTGGCTCTTCTTTTTGTTTTTTGTTTTTTGATTTTTTTTTTGAGACAGGCTTTCTGAAATCAATCTACAGCCTTCATCGGCTCTTCTTTTTGTTTTTTGTTTTTTGATTTTTTTTGAGCTTTCTGAAATCAATCTACAGCCTTCATCGGCTCTTCTTTTTGTTTTTTGTTTTTTGATTTTTTTTTTTTTGAGACAGGCTTTCTGAAATCAATCTACAGCCTTCATCGGCTCTTCTTTTTGTTTTTTGTTTTTTGATTTTTTTTGAGCTTTCTGAAATCAATCTACAGCCTTCATCGGCTCTTCTTTTTGTTTTTTGTTTTTTGATTTTTTTTTTTTGAGACAGGCTTTCTGAAATCAATCTACAGCCTTCATCGGCTCTACTTTTTGTTTTTTGTTTTTCCAGACAGGCTTTCTGAAGTCAATCTGCAGCCTTTTTTTGTTTTTTGTTTTTGTTTTGTTTTTTTTTTGAGACAGGATTTCTCTGTGTAGCTTTGGAGGCTGTCCTGGCACTCGCACTGTAGACCAGGCTGGCCTCGAATTCACAGAGATCTGCCTGCCTCTGCCTCCCAAGTACTAGAGTTAAAGGTGTGTGCTACTGTGCCTGGCTTTCATTTTCTTTTTTTATGTTGGGCAACCTTCATGTGTTGGTCATTGTGATGCCATTCTTCACGCTCAGCTGGCTAGAGACTTAAACTAGACTACTAGCTGCAGTAAATACTCCTTGCCCTTTCCTTAACTCTTTAATTGTCCCTGTCTTTCTATTTTTGTGTCTGGAATATCAGAGTTAAAAGTGCTAAACTTCATAAGGGAAAAAAGGTCATATCTTGATACGATAATAATAGATAGTGGCATCCCTTAATTTTATCTTTTCTTGCATTCTGTGTTGTGTCTAACCAAACACATTGCCAAAAGAGTTATTTTAGGGGTTGGGAGGAGGCAGGGATTGGTAGGTCTGGAAGAACTGTCTAAAACTTAAAACAAAAAGATTAGTATGGAACTAATTTCAGCTAACTTACTAAGGAGGAAACCTTTGTTTGAGTTCATGGAGGCATCATGATGGTAGGCTTGAGTTCCCCTCAGCCAGGCTTCTGGTCCTTTGGTTGGTCTTCTTTAGACTATACATCCACATAATAAAAGGTGCTAGGCAGGGAAAGAAAGTGCATGGAGTTACAAATGTGCAGTTTGAGGATTTCTCCTAGTGAATGGCCTAGGAGCCATTCAGTAGGAGCCTGAGAGGATGGTGACGTCTAACAGGTAACTGTGACTGTATTTCCATAGCGAAGTAATATTTAGGAAGAACTGATCCCTGAATATTTTTCCCACACTGTTGTGGACCATCTTACTCTTTGCCTTTTGAAGAAGGGTAAGCTTTGGATGTCCTGGTGAAACAGCAGGACCTAGTGTCCTCTGCTGAACAGAATTCTAGAAATATAGCTGAAGTGGAGACAGCATTCTTTGTCCTGATCCTGGAGAACTTTGTATAACATGAAAGGATATACTGTTCAGATTTTTCATGGGTGGAAGTTACCCTTTCCGCTGAACTCCTGGGACTGGCCAAGGTTTCAGTGTCCTGTGTATTATTTAGGTTAAGTTAGTCAACTTTCATGGACCTTATCTAGACCTTCTCTGGGGGTGGAAGCCAATGCTAAAACCAATCCTGTCTTCCTCTGATTTTAGATGTGGTTCATAAATCGAAGAGCCAAGGAGAGGAGGATTCAGCGACGTGTATATTTAGAAAACTTGCCACCTGGTGCTGAAGACTTCATTTTTATCGCGGATGTGGAGGAGCCTTCTTAAAGCACCATCCATTGTTCCAGAGCTAAAGGGCAAATCGGCGATCCATGTGCCCAATGTCAAGCTTAACTAAAATTTATGATTCATGTTAACAATAAAAAATTGAATGTCCAAATTACTTAATTTTATATCCTTTGTAGTATTTTGTAGGATATAAATGTACACTGTTTGGGAAATTCCCTTTAAACAGAATGACAAGTTCTGGTTTCATGGGGTGACATTTCTAATTCATGGGTATTGCTTACAAACATGAGTATTCTCTATACATGGTAATTGTGAGACAGTGTGTCACTTATGCCTTCTTGATTAAGGCTCATGTGATCCTTTGATCAAGGGATTCAGTAATAATCCTGCAAACATGGAATGTAAGGAGAAGGTGGGCACAGAAAGTATTGATAGTGATGATTACTTTTTATTTGGATGGTCATACCAATTCTTTTCTTGTTTTAATGAAAATAGATTTTTTTGTCACATAATATATCCTTATTATAGTTTTCCTTCGCCCTACTTCTCCCAGTTCCTCCTCACTTACCCTCCCATCTGGATACATCCCCTTTCTGTCTCACATTAAACAAAAAAGCTCAGGCATGTGGAAGCCAGCCACAGGCCAGCCTGGGTCCTCAAGGCTGGAGCTGGCTGAAATCATTCATGGACAGGAGGGTATCATGATGAGCAAATGTGTGGTGGAGAAACGGGAGAGACAGAGAAGCAGAATGGTTCAGATGCTGTGGAGAGAGGCAGAATAGAAGAAGCAAAGGTGGGAAGAAGCAGGCTGATGTGAGTGGCCTGCTGACCACCCAGGGCCATTGTGACACCTGAGCCCGGGCTGCTGCCAAAGGCCATGTCTAGGCCCATGTTCCTGCTGTAGATGGGGTCTGTTGACATCCCTGACCCATGTTGCTACCAAAAGGCCACAGGATGCCCAGGGTCTGGGCTGCCATCTGTGGGCATATAGGCATCGGAGAACCAGGATACCTGAGGGGCTATACTAATCTGAGTGGCCTATGCTGCCACTAGGTGCCATTGTGACATCAGGGACTGAACTGCAGCTGAGCACCATGTCTTGGTCTATGGCCTGAACTGCAACCAGGGTCTGTATGGTGATGTCCATGGCTCCTGTTACCATCGAAAGCCATGTGTGTGCCAGGGATCTGGGCTGTCACCTGGGGCCATGTTGGTGTCCCTGGGCCATCCTGCTGCTGGGGCCATGCCAACCTGAGTGGCTTGTGCTGCCACCTGGGGTCTCAGTGACATCCAGTCCTGTCTGCTGCCAAGGACCATGTCTGGGTCTGTGTCCTACTGCAGCTGTGTCCTACTGCAGCTGTGTCCTACTGCAGCTGTGTTGAAGTTCGTGTCCTGTGTTGCCACCAAAGGTCATATGGATGCCCAGGGTCTGAACTCCAACCTGTAGCTTTGTTGGTGCCCAAGCCTCCAGAGCCATGCTGATCTGAGTAGCCTGTGCTACCACCTGGGACCTTGGTGTCATCTGGGCCCAAGTAGCTGCTGAGGGCCATGTCTGGGTCCACATTCCTATGGCATCCAGGATCTAAGTTCATGTCCATGCCTTCAGTTACCACCAAGGGCCATGAAGATGCCCAGGGTCTGTCCCACCACCTGAGACCATACTGGTGTCCCAGGGCCATGCTGCTGCTGCAGCCATACTGACCTGGGTGGCCTGTGCCACCACCTGGGACTATGGTGACATCAGGGCCCAGACTACAGCCTAGTTCCATCTCTGGGTCCATGACCAGAGTCTGAGTTGATGTCCATGGCATCTGTTGCCACCAAGGTTCGTTCAGATGCCCGTGGTCTGGTTAGCTGCCTCAAACCATGTTGGTGTCTGAGAACCACGCTGCCACTAGAACCACACTGATCTGGGTGACCTGAGGGGCCATAGGGGCCATGGTGACATCTGGGTCCAAAATACTGCAGAAAGCCATGTCTGGATCCATGGTCCTGCTGCAGCTGTGTGGGTGGCACTATCATAGGTGGACATGCATGATGAATTCCAGGGCTGCGATGGGCCTGCCCTGCCCTTCATTGGCCCTGGGAAAGCTGACCCTGTTCCTCACTAAATAAGAGAGTTGGCCCTGACCCTCACAGGAGAGCTGGCCCCAATGACTGGGGCACGGAGAACTGGCTCTTTGCACTCAGGAGAGATGGCCCCACCCCTCAACACAGGCATGGGAGAGTTGGCCTTGATGGCATGAGCACAGGAGAGCTGGCTCCACCCTTCAACTGAGGGGGGCATGGCTCCATTATCTGGGACTGACCGGCTCAACTACTACCCAGGCCCATATCCAGGCCTTGGGTTGGCCCACCTTAACATCTACCACATCTAGGACCTGCTGGAGCATGGGAAGAGACTGGTTCTGCAGGATCTCCATGACTCAGGGCAGCCATGCAATATCAGAGAGGAATTTCCGTGAGGATCCAGTGATGATGGTATACCAGAAACCCAAAGCCTTGAACCAGATCAATGGCTCATTGCGGTGAACATTTTTGGGTGGGGCTGATTGATAAAAAAAGGTATACTGAGAGACATACTGCAGCTCCCAATGCCACTAAAGTTAATGACGAGTTGTTGGGCAGGCAGGAAAGACAGAGGAGTGAAGTGGAGTTTTTAGTTTGGTTGGTTTGGTTTGGTATTTTTTTTATTTTCCTTTTGGGGGAGGGACACTTCACAGGTGAAATGGGGGTATGGAGGAACTGGGAAATGAGCAGAATTGGGATGCATGATGTGAAATTCCCCAAGAATCTATAAATTGTGTGTGTGTGTGTGTGTGTGTGTGTGTGTGTGTGTGTGTGTGTGTGTACATACAGGCTCCTAAGGGGTAATAATAAATTAAAATATAATAAGTAAAACAAAAACTAACTAAATTTTGTGAGTCTTGGGTGGCTCAGAGAGTCCCTGCGACCATAAATAAATTTTAATAAGAGGAGGCTTTATAGCTGGGCATTGGTGACGCACGCCTTTAATCCCAGCACTTGGGAGGCAGAGGCAGGTGGATCTCTGTGAGTTCAAGGCCAACCTGGTCTACAGAACCAGTTCCAGGACAGCCTCCAAAACAATACAGAGAAACCCTGTCTCACGAAAACTAAAAACAAAAAAGAGGAGGCTTTATTAAATAAATACTGACGCTGGATGATCATGACACCAAGACTGCAATTGAGAGTGTTCCCAAGATACAGCCCCTGGCTGTATTAATCCAAGGCTTATAAAGTCAAAACCTCAACATTGCAACGTATTCTGTCTATATGTAGGCAGGTTCTCATTTTAACATATATGTCTTGCAGTTGGTCCCAGTCATTAAGCAGAGTAAGCAAGTTGGATTACAAAAGCAGAAGCACTACTCCTATAGCCTATTGTCTTCCTAGAAAAGCAAAGTTTTACAAGATCAGCCAATTCAAGAATAGTCTTTGATGCCTGGAAAAAATGAGGGGGCGGGTGCTGCTAGAGTACAGCCGATACAAGCGAGGGGCTTACATGTTAGAGGCATTCTTGTTGTTTTTTTGGTCTCAAGCACAGTTTAAACTTTAAATGTAATGTTAACCTTCACAAAACCAAACAGGAGGGCAAAAACCCAAGAGAAGGTACAAGAGTCAGTGACCCATTTTTTCATGCTCTCGGGAATCTCATAAACACACTCAACTGGAAGCAATAACATATATGCAGAAGACCCGGTGCAGACCTTTGTGGACCCTGTGCTTGCTGCCTTAGTGTCTGAGTTTATATGAGCTTTGCACATGTTAATTTAGGTCTCCTTGGTTTCTTGGTGTCCTCTATCCCTCTGGATCTTACAATCGTTCCACCCTGTCTTTAGTATGAAAGAAAAGGTGTCCAGGAGGGAAATTAACTTTTAGAATACATGATTTGGGTCCTTTCACACACACAGTAGAGCCTAAAAGATTCCTTTTCCCTTGTGGTCCATCTGTCAAACAGTTACCAGTGTAATTGACAAGAAAACACAAAAAGCATCTAGAACACATGGAGCACAAAACTCCTCCTTAACAACTGCTATTGCTCACAGGGTCAAGTTTCTGGCTTTTGGAACTTAGGGCTTTACCTAAGATTTTTGGAGTATGTGTTTAACTTGAGAGGTTACTACAATGTTCTTTGAACAAACTGGCATGGGCTAAGGGGTGTGGTAGGTGTGTGCTGCTTGGCTCTATTCTATATTCTATTGCTCCTTTTTACATTTTCCTCTCTCCAATTGGGGATGGATACCCTCAGCAGACTCTTTTTCTGCGATAATTGTGCTGTTCTCCATGAAAAAGGTTCTAGGATATTCTGGTCCCTGGGCTTGTAACAGGCCGTTTAAAAGTGCTGCTGATTCCTATGCTGTGAGAAAAAGAGTGTTCTATCTAGTCTGGGATGGCTTCATTTCTTTTGATGTCAGGATCTGCCATGTGTAACCAGCAAAAGCTAGGGAAACATCTAGAAAGCTCTTTTAGACTCTGAGGTGCTTTAGGGATCAGAGCATGGTTGCAGGTGCTGATGAGGCCTGTAAAGAACAAATGTCCTCATTTTCCAGTTCCCCATGGGCAAAGTCATATCTTAGCTGATCAATAGAGCACTTCCTTCCTACTCCGGGTCTGATAGACATGAAAAGGCAGGGACATGGGGTGGGCTATAGCTGTATGACATCAGAAAGATGTCTCACTGTGTTTTGGGGACTGTGGGTGAGGGAGAGGGGAGTGCGGTCTACTTATTGTACAGGAAGGACTCACTACACTTTTACAAGGAAAAATGTAAACAGAATAAGAAGAAAAAGGGCTGCTGTTTAATCTAGTTCCAAAATGATGATGTATTTATTTCATGCTTTTAAAGATTTTTTTTAATTTTTATTTTTAAATTTAAATTAGAAACAAGGTTGCTTCACAAGTCAGTTCCAGGTCCCTCTCCCTTTCCCTCCCCTCCTCCCGTGCCCTCCCACCAACCCCTCCAATGTCGCCTCACTTCCCCAGGGAGGGTGAGGCCCTGCATGGGGGTGTCCATAGTCTGTAATTTCATCCAGGGCAGGGCCTAGACCCTCCCCCAAGAGTTCAGGGTGAGAGTGAACCTCACATTGTTCTATGGGAGTCCAAAGTCCGTGTGTATACTTGGGATGGGTACTG